TATTGATAATGTGGTTAATTTGGTAAAAATACAGTATAAAACTATCTGGGGTGTAGGGGTGGGAGAGGCCTTTTATTCCCATTTCAATTCTTTAATGCATATGGAAGGACTCGAATTCTGTTTCTTTTTTTTCACCAGTTTTAGCATTTTGATTTTCCCAGACATTTACATCCTACACACTCTGCTTTATGACACCTTTTTCCTTAACACCCCATTTCCCCTTGTCAAGAAGCATAGGTTTATGGTCCCTCGAAGCTGCTATGCAGCCCTTGGATGTGCCACAAGGTCTTACTAGTCCCTGTCAGTGAGTTTTCAGTTTTTCTGTTGTAAACAGTGTGACTGTTGTTGAGTTCTGTGTCTGTGGGAACAAGCCACCCACAATGCAGCGGCTAAAACAACAAGCATTTTATCGCTGAGGAGCTCGGGCAGGGCTCAGTCAGGTGGTTCTTCTCCTCTGTGGTGTCTGCTGTGGTCACTGATGAAGCCGGGAGCTCCACTGGGGCTGGAACGCCCAACGTGGCACCTCATCTTGGGGCTGGCTTGGTTTCTCCCTCTGCCTCCCTTCATGGATCCTCCTCCTGCTCGGCCACTGCTCCCTCCCCCTGCCATGGGATCTCTCTCTTCAGCCAACAGTCAGATTTCTGGATCCCATGTCTAGCTTCCCAGAGAGCGAAACTGAACTGCTAAGCCCCTTACGTCTTAGCCCTGGACGCAGAAGGGCCTCACTTCCGCTGGGTCCTGCTGGTCCCAGCAAGGCACGCGCTCAGCCCAGACTTCAGAGGTGGGGAACAGACCCCACCGGTTTATGGGAGAGCTGCCTGTGGGCACAGACATGGGAGGAGCTGTTGGTCGCCATGTTTGCAGAAAATCTAGCACAGCTGTGAGCATCCTGATGCACTCATCCGATGAATTTTGGAGTCAGAGTGAATATTCTTTGAATGGATCTGTGGTCTGTTGACTCGTGGATCTTGGGACGTTACATAACGCTGGGGCCGAGACAGATAAAGACGCCATCGTAGAATTTCCCACAGGCCAGCAGGGAATGTACACCGACACTTACATGACTTGTAGTAACTCTAGAGATGCTCCAGGAGCCTTGAGAATTTGTGACAGCCTAGTCTTCACTGGGCTTTCCCCAATGGCAAAGAAGATGGCATTAGCCCCATTTGGCAGAGGAGAAAACTGAGGCTCAGGAATTAGCTGGCTTGACCTACTTTCCTTCTCCATTCCCTGCCACCTAGGCTCATCCCTCTCTGTTCTCTCCGCCCTACTCAATGTTGTGACAATAACGTGCGTCATTCATGTTCAACAACTTCCTGTGTCTCTTGTCCCTTGGTGAGAGGGTGTGTCCCATGTCAGGTCTACCCATGAGGACCCTTGGCGTCCCCACTCTGAACCCCACTTTCCTCATCTGTAAAAAGAGAACACTAACCTTACTGTTGGGGAGATTCAGAAAACTGACACAAGGAAAGCACCTAGATTTTCCGCAGAGGTAGAGGTGAAAGAATACGATTAGTTTCCCTGGGGCCCTTCACCCTGAGCCTTCCCCACCTCTGCTCGCACCTGGGCTGGGTCAGGGGGCCAGTATGTTCAAGGTAAATAAAGGTATCACAAAAGGCTTGTTCAGTTCCCCCTGGTTGTAAGAACCATTGTGTTCTAATAAGATGCTCCAGGTGGCAGCTAGCAATTTCCCACTTTCCCAGCTGTCAGTCTGATCTTGGCTGCTGAGTAGTTCCTCATTGTCCCTTCCATGGGGGCCAACCTCATACCTGGCCCTTCAGTCAGAAAGCAAAGCCTGTGTTAGCACCTCTCTGGTCCCATCTCAACAAGACTGACCTGTTCCGAAGCCTTCGAATGCAGGTTCGGCTCTTCCCGGCAACCCTGGGACAAACTGCAAACTACGATTTGGGGGAGGGAAGCCGGTGCGTCCACATTGATTCACAGATGACTCAACGCCAGCCTGTGACATCTGGCGCTCAGTGCCACGGCCTGTAATAAGAGAATGTTTAATGTTGTTTGGCAAGACATGTACTCTTCAAAGGCCTAATTCGGTTCCCTAAGTTACTGTTCTTTGTTTTACTGTCCATAAGGGCCTATCCAGATATCTGGTCACATTTTCCTCCAAAGAACAGTTTTCCAGCAAAGTCACCACCCAGGTTTGTGACTCCGTGCCGTGGTGTGGAGTTTCCTACGGGCCCCGGGAGCCTGACTAAGTGGGGCTTGTTCCGATTCGGCGTGGTGTTTCTTCTCTCATCTGTTAACTGTTGAGAACAGCTCGCTGGTTCACTGACAATCTTGGTAGCTCTCCATGGCCAGGAAAGCCATCAAAGCAAACTGGAGGAGAAGGCAGCAGGAAATTCTTGTTTGTAAGTTTAAAAGCTGCATGGACGTCCCCCAAGTCAGTTCTGAGGCCGCCTCCAGAGGGACACGGGGAAGAAGCAGGAGTCGGGGAAGAGCGTCCCATTATTTTTATTCAGTTTGGACGTGAAAGCCAAAGTTAGGGTCTCCAGAATCCTCTGTGGCTCTCAAAAGACCACCTTGCTTGTGTAATGTCTCTGTTTCAGAGGCGGTGAGTTTCTTACAGGTCGTGAGGAGCTTCCGTGTGCCTGGCTGGGAGGCAATGTGCTGTCTCGTATTGCAGCTACATTTGGTTGGTCATAAGATCCGAAGTCATATTCCGTCACATGCGTTGCATAATTCAACATTTTCTGAATCGGGTCCTGGCGATTGTTGAGTATTACTTAGAAAGTGGGTTCTGGGGGCACGTGGGAGGGGACAGCCCTGGTTTCCACCTTGTGGTCCTGTGGATGCTGTCCATCACTGTGGAGTGTCCTGCCCTCCCAAGGCCAAGGGCTGGGCACAGACTTGGCGAGGCCAATTAGATTCTGTGTCCCCAGACTTTTGGATGGAGAGATGCAAACAGGGCAATACAGCTCAAGTTCATTCCTCCAACACCTGTGTCGGACACGGCAGCCCAGCCCCTCCCGCCTGCCTTGGCTCCTGTCTGTTTCTGAGCCTGGTTGTCCATCCCTGTGTAGGCTTCTCTGTGTGACCTCTTAACCTCCCAAAACATTTCCAGTGGGTTCTGAGTCAAAGTAAATTGCAGACACTGGCTAACATAATCAGTTTATTTCCTGCATGCCTTCCCAGAGTCTTGTACATATTAACGTGCCTGGTAGATGTCTAATGTGTTATGGCATGCCACAGAATTAAAAATTGGCCAACTCACAAACTTGGAGGTCTCCAGGCCACACAGGAAAGGTTAGCGGGATGGCTGGCAGCAGTTTCAGAAGGGAGCGTTGGGCACCGGCCCAGTGGGAGACGTGTGCCTTACTAAAGGGCTATCTTCTCCTCAGCTCCAGCAGATGGTTAACGGCTTATATTACAGTGAGTATGATTTGCCAGAGCCTCTGAAATGATGGCAACCACCCTGAGCAAAGGTAGTGTCCAGAAGAACTGTCTTCATGGATGGTTGCAAGTTTGGGCTAGCAGCCTGGTTGGGTCCCAGCAGTGTAACTCCAGGCCAGTAACTTCGCCTTTCTGAGCCTCAATTTCGAGATCTGCACAACAGTGCCGGTAGCGTTACCCGCTTCAGAGAGTTACTGTAAGGACTTAGTGACACGAGCCTGGTCAGGCATTTCAAACCAGGCCCTGGCATGTAGTACGTGCTCAATAAAGAGCTGCTGCGTCTGATGTCTTTGTCTGTGAGCAGAGAAAATTCACCTTAATTCCCAGAAAAATTAGATCACTCCAGGTACAATAGAGATTGTTATTGCCCTTGGGTGGGAGCTGGTTGGGTGTTGTTCATATCGTACCCTAGTGCCTGGCACAACATAGGGGCTCAAATATTGTAATTGACTATTGAAGGACTCAAAATATTGAAACTTTGAATCCTGACAATCAAAAGTGCAAAAGAGACCTTACGATACCTTTTATACTAGAATTATACTATCTAGGAATGTAGAAATCCATCCATTCATCTGCCAACTCATCCATCCATCCAGGCATCCATTCACCCATCCATTCACCCATCCATGCATCCATTCACCCACCCATTCATCCATCTACCCACCCACCCATCCATCCATCCATCTACCCACCCACCCATCTATCCATCCATCCATCCACCCACCCATCCATTCATCCACCCACCCACCCATCCATCCATCTTCCATGCACTACAAGGTCATTTGTGGTTTTATCCGTCCATCCATCCACCCACCCACCCATCCATCCATCCATCCATTCATCCATCCATCCACCCACCCATCCATCCATCCACCCACCCACCCATCCATCCTCCATCCACTACAAGGTCATTTGTGGTTTTATCCATTTTGCTACTGCAAAATCTGAGGAAGAGAGAATTAAAGGGCTACCTCTATGAATAATGTCAGACTAGAAGTCCATCTCCTAACACCTGGTGGACTCATGAAGAAGTTGCACAGCATGGAAATGAAGAGCATTTGGACTGGTGCTCGATTGCCTGCGCTCAAGCCCCAGCCTGGCAATTTCCTGGCTACATGACCTTGGGCAAGTGACGGTTTTACCATGTCGTCAGCGGAGATGATAATATCCGTACAGCTTAGGGTTGTGAGAATTGAATGAGGTGACATGTGTACACACTTGGGACAGTGCCTGGCAAATGTGAATAACCCAACAAATGTGAACTTCTGTTCCCTGAGACTCCCCGCCTTGTGAAGGCTGCATAACACCTGCCTTCCTGGACTCTGTCCCCTTGGCACCCCCTAACAAGTGTGAAGGGTGACTTGGCCTTGTGGCAGCTCCCTGTCCTGTGTGTATCTCTTTATACCTCTTCTGCACTCCCTTTCCCCATCATAGCTACTAAGGGGTCTCCATGCCTGGCTCATGGTCTAAGGAATCCTTTTAGGGGACCAGCGAACGCCTTCCTGCCTCCCCTACCTCCTCTCCATCAGTGTGGCTCACTGAGCCATGACCTGCTGACCTGGGGCCTGCATCTCTTTCCTCCTCTTTTGCAGGGAGTCGGACCTGTTCCTGCTTGACAGCCGCACCCTCTGGGCCTCAGAGGAGGGCTGGCTGGTGTTCGACATCACAGCCACCAGCAACCACTGGGTGGTCAACCCACGGCACAATCTGGGCCTGCAGCTCTCGGTGGAGACCTTGGACGGTAAGTTCCCGGCCACCACTCCAGCCGGTTCTGATGCAGCCCCCACTCCAGCCGGTTCTGATGCAGCCCCCACTCCTGGACTTGAGGAGGATCTTAGCAGCACGAGTGCCTGTTTCCATCAAGAACAGACTGCCCCCGCCCCGTGCCGAGTCGGTACTCAAGGTCCAGCCTTTTGATCCAAACCCAAAGCAGCCTCACCCACTTTGCACAAGACGATCACACAGTTGGCCAGCTGCACTGGGTAAGGCCTCGTTGCTCAGTGTGTGGTCCCACCCCAGCAGGGTAGCACCCCCCCCCATTATAAATGCAGCATCTCTGCCCATCCCTGGCTTGCTGCATGGGCCAGAAGCTGCGCTTGGCCTGGAGCCCCTGGTGACATCTGAACACACAGCAGTCCTGGACATGCTGATGCACGCTCCTCCCCCGCAGGACAGGACATTCCGGTGGTCCTGTGCTCTGCAGGCTGTTTAATGGTGTCCCTGGCCTCTCCCCACTAGAAGCCAGTAGCATCTCCCAATGGGGACACCCAGACTGTCTCCAGACGTTGCCAAATGTCCCCCGCAGGGCACAGCTGGCCCTGGGTAAGCACCAGCACACTGGTGCAAGGCGTCAGCCCCTCCCAAGAGTCTGAACGTGGTTCTGAGTCCCAAACACTCGGAGGAGCCTGTTGGCCTGCCCTCCCCGGCACCGTCCCTCCCCCCTACTCGCCCATCTTTCCTCCAGAAGGGCAGACGGGATGGTGAGTGGGGATCCAGGGTGGACCTGGCTGTGCCCATTTCTCCCTCCCAAAGTGTGTTTCTTATTAAGTGGGGATGGTTTGGGGGTGGGTGTAGCTTCTTCCTTACACCAGTTTCAAGAAAAACAATAATTTTAGAATAGGTGATCCGTGCCAAGGCTCAAAATTCTAATCTTATGGATGTGTGCAACGTGAATAGTCTCCCCCCACTTGCTTCCCGCAGCTCCTGGGTTCCGCCTCCCAGAGGCCACTGTCCCTCCCGTGTTATTGGACATCTTTGCAGAGATGCTGTCCGGGCATCTAAGCAGTTACATAGAGACTCTGCCTTCCTTTTGTTTTCCTTCCACAAGCAGTGGCGTTATCTCCAGTGTGCTTCACCTTGCTTTTCTTCACCTGACAGACCGTCTTAGAGCTTGGTCCTTTGCAGCCATTAAAGAGCTTGCTCGTGCGTTTAAAGGCTGCTGTGTGTTTGTGAACGTGCGGAGTGGGTGTGGCTCTGCCATGTGGCTCTATGCCTGTCAGAGCCTCGGCTCCTCATCTCCAACATGCCGGAAACCAGAGGGCCTGGCCATTGGGCTGTCCTGAGATTGGAGCTGTTACAGGAAGAGTTTGAAAATGATGCCTCCCTGTGCCTGGGACCCCTGGGCCTCTCGTTAAAATGCAGATGCTGATTCAGCGGGTCTGGGGTGGAGGGGAGCCTGCGTTCCCGACCAGCCCCCAGTGGTGCGAAGGCTCCTGGCCGCTGGACCCTGTTTGCGTGGCCAGGGCGAGAACGAGACCTGGCTCATCGCACACATGCCTTCAGTGAGAGCAGCTGCTGCTGGTGTTATTATTATTGTTGTTGTTGTTGTTGTTCTTACCACCCAAAGTGACTTACCCAGCCCCCTGGGATGGATGTCTCCGTGTCTTCGGTCCGTTGCTCTCACGACCAGGGCAGCAGGGGTCACCTCGGTGCATGCGTCATTGTGTGTGAGTGGGTGGAGTTCTAGGATAAAATTCCTGAAGGTGACCTTGTCTAGCTGTACAGTTGATGGATATTGTCAGTTTGTCCTCCCTAGGGGTCATTCCGTGCGCACCCCCCGGGAATACACGCGGGCACCTGCTTCCCCTTCTCAGTCGGCACCAGCTCTCCACCTGCCCGTCTCAGCTCACCTACCGGAGGACGAGCGGGTCCCACAGTTGCGTCTGCTTTTCTCTCTCCTGTGCGGCTGGAGCCCTGCTCCCGCGCCCTTGGCGGTTTCTCCCCTGTGCCCCCTCCCTTCACACCCTCTGCCCACTGTTCGGACAGGGTCTCGCTCTTTCTTTCTTTATATTTTAGCGACACTTGCCCTTGTGAATTGAGCAGCAAATATTTCCCCAGTTTTTAGTTTCTCTTTCTACTGTGGTTAATGCTGGGTTTTGCCAAGTGGATTTAGACCATGTAGCTGAATTCTACGGCCTTTCCTCTGCTGCTCCCAGGCTTCTCCTCTGCTCCTTCCTGTCGGAGGCCTCTGCTTCCATCTGGAGCTGCCCCCTCGAGTTTCAGAAAACCAGAATTACTCGCCTAAGGCCACAGGCCACGTGGGAGAGGCCACATGGGAGGGGCCACGGGGCTTAGGACCACACTTGTCTGGTTTTCAGGCCAGTCTTCTCTCTCCTGATGGTGTCCCCACCCCACCCCCCTGCCCTGTCCACGCCCCGGACACTTACAGGGGGTCCCAAAAGGGCCTGGAGTTTCCCATTGCTCTGTATCAAGATGGCAAACTCTGCCCGGTGGACCCAATTCAGCCTGCGGCCTGTTTGTGGGTGGCCTATGAGCTAAGAATAGTTTTTATATTTTTAAATGGTTGAGAAAAGTCGAAGGAAGAAGAATATTTCGTGATGCATAAAATTATATGAAACTCACATTTCCTCTATGGCCCATAATAAATAAATAAAATATTTATTATTTTCAGAAAAATTATTTACAGAAAAAGTTGGCAACCCCTGCTCTAGACCGGCATTTCTCAAACTGTGTTCCATGAAATGTCAATGAGTGTCCCAGGGAAAAGGGAAGGGGTTTGTGACCAGTTAAGTAAGAAATGCTATATTGGATAAACAAAACGGATTTCTCTGCAGGACTTATTAGAGCCTTTATTTTGCCGACGTCCATTGTGAATCTGCTGATGGGGAATACGGCACAGAGGAATAGCAAACTTATTTGGCAATAGCATCATTCAACTCTTCTTTTTCTTTAAAAGCCCCTGTGGAACATACTGGGGATGAGGTAAAGCTGAGGCCAAGGTAGACGTGATTCCCCTCTTCAGGGTGACCCTTTCCCTGGGCTTGTGGTTACTGGCTAGACCTTTCAGCTTACCCCAGCGGGTCCTGTGCTCCTCTGTCTTGCCTGCCCTGCTGGCTCGGGGGGCCCAGATTTGTTTTTTCTCTTAAGTGGCGCTCAACTTGGTTCCCCTGCTGTCAGGCCTGCCATCATCTTTCTCCCCCAAAGTCAGGGTCTCTGTGCTCCTGTCACCTCCAGCTTCTGCCCCCTCAGGCTGTGGATAAGGCTTCCCATTATCGAGGTGGCACAGCCTGATGGTTAGAGCCTGGGCTTGGGAGCCAGCCAGACTCCCTGGGTTCAAATCCCAGCTGGGCTGCTTCTGGCCGTGTGACCCAGCGGGAGTCACGTGCTGTCCCTCCTCTGGACAGGGGCTGACTAACAGTTTCCACCTCCCAGCGCGGTCGTCAGGACCAGATGAGCTCATGCAAGTGCAGAGCTGCACTGCTCCACTTGCGGTAGCTCCTAAGCACGAAGAAGGCACCTCTTCTCCTGTGATCCTCACAATCACACAGCGGCGTGGATGCTGTCGCTAACATGCCACGGCACAGGCAAGGAGACAGCCCGAGAGCTGCCAGGGGACCCCTCTCCATCTGTGTGCGGTGTGACCTTGAGATGCTGCTGAGAGTCAGCACAAGGACCAGATGCTGCACCTCTGACTTGGTGCCATGTCCCCCCTCCCAGCCGGGGCGCTGGGGGCCAGGTGTGGGTGTCGCCGCCCTGGGACTCGGCTTGTCCGGGCGCCGTGTGCACCAAGTTTGGTGTGGCGGCCGGGGTCAGGGAAGGACCACCCACTCAGACCCCCAGGGAGGGTCAAAGTGTATAATGGCCAACTGGGCATGTGGGTTTTCGGATCTTTGGGGGATAAGATAAGACGCATGTGAGCCCAGCATTTCTGAGACCGCAGGCTTCTGGCTAGGAAATTCTTTTCTCCCGGCAGCGGTGGTTCTCCAGCGTGGTGTCCCTCAGAGGCCCCTGGGAGGCACACTGAGCGTATGATTCCCAGGCCGCATCCCCAGACCCCTGATGGGCCCAGAAATCTGCCTTTTCTCACAAGCCCCATGGATCCCTCAGGGCCCGGACCAGTGACCACACACTGGCAAAGTCACGCCCCGTGTTTTAGGGTCCGCTGTTAATAAGACGGTATCCAGGTTGACCGGCCTCATTCAGGTCCTGGGTCTAAACCTTTTCCTGTTAGATGTTGACACCGGTGAAAGACCAGACGAGCTACTGGGGAGTCCATGGATTCTGGGGTCCGTTTGCTGGGCAGCCTGGTGCACACCTACTGTGTGCCATCCCGGGCTGTCTGCAGAGACAGCCTGGTCCCTAACCTGGGATCTCCCACCAACTTCAGCATAAACTCAGTGAGATGGCACCCGGACAAGCTGAGTCCCAGCGCGGTGGGTGGCCCCCATGCCCAGCTCCCAGGACCCCGTCGGGGAGAGGAGGAGACGAGGTACCGGGTCAGGGGTGCAGCACCTCATCCTCGCCCTGACTCTCGACAGCATCTTGGCGCCACCAGGCTACACCCGCCATGGGTGGAGAGGGGTCTCCAGGCCACCACGGGAATATGGAGGCTTGTCCTCTCTCAGGGGCCTCGGTTTCCTCACCCACACGATGGGCGTGTTGGTGACAGCTTCCATCCCAGCGAGGCACAGATGTCCCCCACCTTCTCTCAGAAGCCTTGTGTTTGGCCAGTGTGGGCCGCCTGCTCTCTCAGCCTCTAAATGTCACCCGAGGCCACCCAGGAAGCCTGCGTCTGTTCCGTCTTCCTCCAGCTGCGGCCCTCCTGTTAGTCACCCCTCGGAGCTGCACAGCTGGCGCCCTTCCTGGCCTGCCTGTGGGGGAGAAGCCCGTCACTCCCCAGGCACCTGTGGCTCGTCAGGAGTCCCTGGGGAGCATCCATCATCTGTGTGGGACCGGATGCTGCAGGAAGGAGGGCTGGCGGCTGCTTGTCTTTCCTTTTGT